GCCGGGTCTGGTGGTGATCTACAGTGAATTCAGGGGAGCTTCCATTCTTCCTGATTTATTGGAAACCATTATGTAAGAAGGTATCAGAGGGCTCAGAGGAGTGGGAATGTTAGAATGCATTTATTATGCATGGGTTGAGAATTGACACCTGGATTGAAAATGTTCCCCAGAAAAGCCCAGAAGATATTCTTTTTATTGAGGAAAAAAGGAAAGTATGTAGGTTGAATTGTGACCTCAAAGAATACACATTGAGTCTTAGCTTCAAGTCCCCATGAATAAGATCATATTTAGAAAGAGGGTCTTTGTAGGTGTCATCAAGTGAAAATGAGGTCACACAGAAACAAGGCAGACTCTAAAGCCAGTGATTGGTACTGAGAAGGAAATTCAGAGACAGAGAGACACAGCTTCACATGTAGCAAAGTTGAACATTTAAAACCAGGGACAGAATGGTAGCTCTGAGGGCCAAGGGCCACCTAGGCTTTCTCACCATCCCCAGAAGTTAGAAGAGGCAGGGAGATTTCTGCCCTTATAGAAGTTGGGGGCAGCACAGCTCTGCCAACTTCTGGTCTTCAAGAGTGTAAGAATAAATGCCTGTTGTTTTCCATGGCTAAAATGTTTCATTTATAATTTGTGTAGCAGCCACAGAAAGCTCATAGACACAAAATATGGCAGTGATAATCTTTGATAGGTCTGTATTGATGTTAAGATATGGCACTGTGGAACTGGGCTCCCTGTTACAAAAGGAGAAAATAAATTCCCAATTTGGGAGAGCCAAGAAGTCCTGAAAAACCATCAGATCCTGGGTAGATGTTATCATCAGGGTAACAAGGCATGAGTAACAGAGCGAGAGAGACAATCAAGGTACCTGAACTCACACAGATTTATGACATTGATTAATGATGAGCCTAGGGGTCAAACAGGTGATCAGCTACTGAGATTGATGCTCAATTTATATGATCAGAAAATCAATCATGGTGTGTGAATTCAGCAAAATTAATCCAGTGTAGTCCAGTAGTCCATAATAGTAGTGGGTTATCCATTGGACTGGCAATGTCAGAAGTTGTTGACTTGAGCCTTTTACAGCTCAGCATACTAATATGGCTTTACTTTTTATACCTCGTTTTTACACTTTTCTGCTGGATAGTTAAGACCAAGATAAAACAAGACCTATACAACAAGAAATGTAACTTTTGTATCTTCCAAGTTCAGTCAAATCCCCTCAGGATTTACCCTGAAACCCTCTACTGCAGTTTGTAGCTCTTTTGTCAGTGTCGGCCATGTGGATGAGTCATGGCCATTGCTTGACCAATTTGCTCTCTGCGAAAGCCTGAGAGAATGTTTTCTCTCCATGTGATTCTCCTTAGGCTATTTGTTTTTCAGTAAATTAATAAAAAAAAATCAATCATGGGAAGCTTTGAGCCTTGATTCAGATACTCGGTCTAAGTCAAAGTCCATGAAAGGGAGGGTGGTTCTGTCAGAGAAAGAACCCACAAGCATCTTTAACAAGTACTTCCCTAATCTTTTCCCAAAGATCATTCTAAGCATTTTTCAAGTAACTGTGTACTGGGGAAACAGGAATACAGATTTCTCAAAGATTGATGACAACAATCTTAGTGTACATTAATCCAAGGGGTCCTGAGCTCCATTATGGTCCTCTGAAGTGTAGTCCACGAGAACAAGAGGTAGGAGTTTGGACTGATTTCTGCTTGGAGAATAGACTTACGCATGCATCTGCCTGGTGACACCTGCTGCAAGATCCCCTGTAGTATGGAGGTCTTCTGGAATCTCCCTCTGAAGGAAACCATAGAAGTTACCCTTTTTGTCATGATCAAGAGGAAAAAGTGAGGGACAAACACAGCAGTCAAGGACTCTAAGGAAGCAGTGGTGGTGGTCTCCACTAGTACTCCCGTTCAATTCACCTGTTCATCCTGTCAAGACGAAGTGATTCATGGCAGATAATAGTAGTAGACCATCTCTATTACTTGATGCTATACAGAACTTTTATCTTTCCTGGACCGAATTAATATAATCTCTGCTACTTGACAGGTAGTTATTCATTTGGCAAATGTTTTCTTCTCATCATCCCAACAGAAGGAGGATGGAGAACAGGTTGTCTTGCTATAGCAGGACAGCAGGATATTTATACTGTATAGCTCACTATTAGGTCAGTCTTCCTTTTCTCTGTCCTCATAGAATCCTGAAGGACCCTGTTTATACTAATACTCCAGGGAATGTTGCAGTATTCCATACTGATTACCTCTTATTCACTGACATGATGACTGGGGTGACATGAATCCAGGGTACCCTGGATTCCTTGAGCCAAGAGAGCCATTCACAAGGGAGTTAGGGTAGTGGGCTCAGGGCCACAGGATTTATTGGCCTGACCATGGATCCCAATACTCTGAAGCATCCCACCAGATGGAACAGTGGCACAAACCTTTGAAGGCTCAGCCACGGCACCAGTGAGCGACAGTACTTCCCAGAGGGAAGGCACTGTCTTCCAACTGCAGTAAATACCTCGAGCGATGGGACACAGACAGTGCCATGCCTTCAAGAGTTCCCAAGTGGTAGGGGTAGAAGAACTTCTCATTCTCTTTCCCCAAGACTTGCTCATACCTCCCATATCTGAGACCTTGTTCAAGGTTATCACTGCCTTATTTGTGTCAATTAGTTTTCTGTGGCTGCCATACTAATTATAAACGAAACACTTCAGCAATGGAAAACAACAGGCATTTATTCTCACCTTGTATTTTTCAGATTCAGAGTCCCAGGCTGTACTATTCTGCTAGGGCGACCATCACAAATGCCATGAACCAGGTGTCTTTACCAGTCAGCTCACTGCCTCACGTTCCGGGGGCTGGAAGCCTTAGCTCATGGCGTCAGCAGGGCTGCTTTCTTCTAAGGGCTGCGAGGAAGTGTTTCGTGCCCTTTTCCTGGCCTCTAGTGGCGTGCCGGCACTCTGGTGTTCTTGGCTGATGGAGACAGAACCTGGCTTTGAGTTTTCATCTTCATGCAACATTCTCCTCAGGTCTTTGTTCAAATTTTTCTTTTTAAGGGACACTATTCATATTAGATTATCACCTGCCCTAATGGTCTCATTTTAGACTTTTGTTACCTTTTTTAAAGCCTCTACCTTTATAAGGTCACCTCGCAGGGTAGTAGGTGTGATCATTTCAACATGCGAAAGAGGGGATGCAAATTAGCCTATAGACTGGCCACGGAGGCACATGCCTGTCATCTGGGAGGCTGAGGCAGGAGGATCACAGGGTCAAGGCTAGTCTGGGTGACTTAGTGAATTTCTGTCTCCAAGTTAAAAAAAACCAAAAAAATGAGAAGGAAATAGTAGGGATGTAGCTCAGAGTAAAAGTTCTGGGTTCAACCCCCAGCCTGTAATGGTTGGAATGCAGGGACAGAGAAGACATCTCTGTGGCTGGACAAAGCAAAGCCCCCACTGAGATAAAACCATGATTAGCACCTGACCACAAGCCACCTTCATGAGAAATGACATGTGCAGGGCCAAGGCAGAGGAACATAATTGGTTTTCTGGAGTTGTGAGGAAAGAGGACACCATTTTTCTTTTCTTAATTCAGATGTTCCTTTTTTGCCCACTGGTGCTTGGAAAGGCTTACATTTTAGGCTTAGATTTGACTAGTTTGTGCTGAGATAAAAAAGCAGATGGGAAGAGCTCAAACTTTAAACAGAGAGGAAAAGGGGAGGAAAGGATGGGCAGACAGGATGAAGCACACCTGCGCTGGTGTCTGCATGGGAAGATGCGTCGCTTCGTGGCTCTCTGGCCCTTTCATTCCTCCAGGTACCTCTGCATGTGAGCTTCTGTGGGATGTCTGGACTGAGCTGAGCTGGATTCCACTATCCACTAAAATGTAAGCCTTTCCAAGCACCAATGGGTGACTTCCTGCCTCCACCCTTCGGTTTCTTCCTCTGGATGGGTTACAATTCCATCAGCCGCCGAGAGCTGCTATCAAGACTTAGGAAGTGAATGCTTGCCACGGCTACAACACTGTCAGGGCTCAGTAGATCAGGGCTATGTCCACCCTCTCTCATCTCCAACTGGAACACAGGGACTCAGCCTCTGAGAACATCCACCCCAAGACCTCCCTATTGTCCTATTCTGTACCCCACATCGCCCTGTGATCGACATCCACCCACGGTCAATTTCTCTTTTGCCCCATTTTTTTTTTTTTAAGCCAGGGTCTCACTACATCACTCAGGCTGGCCTCTAACTCACTGTGATCCTCCTGCCTCAGCCTGCAGTGTGCTGGGATTGCAGGTGTGCTACCACGCCACCAGCCTCAAGTCAATTTCCTTTCCAAGAGGAGTCCTAAGCCTCCTGCCTGGATGACTCCTCTGCTCAGCTCTCTGCTCCCTGCAGGCTTCAGGGTGGAATTTGCTCCCTTTGCTGCCTCCAGCTGGGACTCGATCTCGCCTGGGCCTCATATGAGAAGGCTGGGGACTCCTCTAACAACACAAATCACCTTTGACCTGGTGACAAGATCTGTAGTGTAGACTCTGACTTCTATGGCTCTAAGATCTCTTTTCTTCACACTTTAGTATTTGATTGGGATCTTTTTGGGTGACCAGGCTTGATGTCTTTTCTATTTCTTTCCAGAGCAGAGGAAGGTGATGGTAAAGTTTGCACTGTTTGGATGTTACAGAGGAAGACTCTGGTTGGACCTTCTTGGCATCTTGGGGCCCCAGGTTTTGGTTCCTAAGAAACCAGGGTCATGGAGAAGATTTGGAATGATAGCATAAGGTGGGGAAAGTTGGCCTTGGGCTGGCATCAGGACCCCACACCTGCAGCCTCCTGGCCTGATTTCCTTTCTACTCCTAGGCTAACAAATTCAGCTGACAGAATGAGGCAACAAAACTTGCTGGAACCATGACACCATTTTTATTGTCAGTAAGAAAGTGCCACACTTTAGAGATGATCAGCTAAAAAAGAAGCTGGGTGGTTGTATTACAAAATGTAAAGTAAAAAAAAAAGAAAAAAAAACCCTGTTAACTAAAAATAAGAATAATTAAAAGCATCTCTGTTCAGTTAAGTACCAGAACCTAGACAATGAAATGAAAACACAGCTCCTTAGACTGAAGAAACTGGGTTTTGAGAAGACGTGGCTAGGTTGTGGGGGGAGCATGTGAGGGGAGCTCCTTTTTGGTCCAATAAGCAGGCATGGGGCTTCCTTATCCACTGGGTCATCTCCCTTGCTGAGGCCACCACAAGTGAAGCCAAGCTCAATGTCACCAAATGTTAGGACTCAATCAGCCCCTCTGTGTCTCCTGGGCAATGACACCTTCTGGGAGCAGTTTCTCCATTCTCTGAGGCTCTGATGTCACAGCTGGGCACCTCTCCAGGAAGTTCTGCTCCAGCAGGCCCTGGGTAGCTGCGGTCTGCAGCATCTCACAGGTCAGTGGACAGGAAGTCCGGGAGCTGCTTGCCTTCTTCAGGGGATTTGCTGGCCAGCTGTCCAGGGAAAGAGAATAAACAAACACAACCTGAGGTGGAGGTGGGATTCTCATGAGCATCAGGGTAGAGCTTTCCGGGCTCTCCATGCTGACCTGTGCCCAAAGCGGATGGAAGGACAGGTGCCATGACGTGGAGTCAGGTTAGAAAGGTGATACTGAGGGTGGTCAGGGTGGAGCTGTGCTGGCTCCTGACCCTTCCCTCATTCTGTGAGCCTGGGCACGTCATTTACCATGTGAGCCTCATCAAATCGTCAGGAGGATAGACAGCTTAAGATCAAGCAGGATAATGCTTGGGAAGTACTTATCATGGTTCCTGACTCACAGTTTGCTGGAAGCAGACTTGTGATTTTTAGAGCAGCGCAGTTCTGATTTAACGTTACCTTGAGGATCAGAAGGGCCATGGTTCCCTCTTGATCTTGAGCAAAAACTTAGAAGCAACAACAGGGGACAGGATTTCAAGAGTCAGTAATTCAAAGCTAACTTTTAGTTTGGTGAATTTTTAAAAATAAATAGACTAGGAAAATGCTTCTCCCAGAAAAGAACTTTCCGTTTCCAAAGACAGCTGACTGCTAGAGCTTGAATAGGTACTCAAAAGGGCAACTTAGGTGAGGGGTAAGCTACCTACTCATTCTGAGGTCACAGGGACCCTGTGGGACCCCCGTGGGGCCATTGTTGGTCAAAGGAAGCAGGCAGGGTCCAGAAAACATACTGGGCATGTGTCCCAGGCCTCAGGACCCCCTGGCCATGCCTCCTGGGAGCAGCTACATGTGAATTCACACAGCACACAGCCTACTGTGTCATTCTCTCCCTTCCTCCCTCCTCCCAGGATTCTCCTTCCTGTCACACAGCTGGGTCCTCACCATTGTTTTGAAGAACTGATTGACTTTCTTCCTTGTTAGCGTCTTCTTGTCACTGTCTGAGGGGTGGAGGAAGGTCTGGCTGAGGCGGGGAGATGTGCTGGCTTCATCCATGCCAATCCCACCTGCTACAGAGAGTGTGAGGGCTGGAAGGAGAGAGTGGAGACCCAGGGGAGGGAGGGGGGAGAGGGAGAGAGAGGGGGGAGCGCTCCCAGCCAGCCGCGGGGTGGGGTAGGGATCTCACTGGGACTCAGGCTGAGACCGCGCTGGTGCCTGCTGTCCTGGAAAGCCAGATCTCCATGAATGTCACCCATCAGGGGATCCAAAGTCAGAAAGAAGTGTAGCTACGTTCACACATCTCTTTCGGGCCCCAAAGCCCAAGATACAACCAGGAAGAATTTGATCCAGAGCAGAAAGCCCAGTGTCCCCCATGCCCCCGCCCTGACTCTGGCCCTTTGTCGAGTGGTGAAGTACAGTGAAGGCAGCCTCAGAGAGGAGACCTGGGCTCAGGCCCCATGCGTAGGCACTGGCTGCCCTGTGATCTTAGGCAGTCACTTTCGCCTGGACTTGTAAATTGCCTAGAAGGATCAAGAAAGGCTCTCAACCTCAGCTGCACGTTGAGAGCACAGTTTAAATAAAGACCATTCTTGAAACTGTCTCATTGCTATTTGTTTCTCAATAAAATTATGGAGA